AAGGCATTACAAGACCTGATCTAAAATTTTACAACAGAACAAAACCAGCATGATATTGGTATCAAAACAGATTTGAAGATAAATGGAATAGAATAAAAGACACTAGCAAACCATCATAGAGAGCGTCATCTGATATTTGACAAAGATGCCAAAAACACCTGTTGGAGGAAAGATAGTACTTTTTACAAGCAGTACAAGGATAGATATCCACATGTAGAAGAACAAAACTAGATCCTTGTCTTCCACCCTGCACAAAAATCAACTCAAACTGCATTAAAAGCCTAGGAATTAGACCAGAATCTTTGCAACAGCTAAAAGAAAGCATAGGGTCAAAATTCCAACATATGGTATAATACCAACTTAATCATAAACAAATTTATTGATCAGCCTATAAATTTAGTGTATCTGATGAGTTGATAAACTCTGAGAATATCAATTTTGGAGTCATATTGGGTCAAATTCAGATTCACCATTGTGTTATCACAGGGGTGAGTCTCCCCTATTTCTCCTTCTATAAAAACAGAAAAAGACATCTGTTTCCAGAATTGTTATGGGGATGGAGGATGATGGTGAAAAAGCACCAGGCACAATAGGCGTGATAACCATTAATCTTTTTCCTCCATTTTGCCTCGTGGCTCCTAGCTTGGAATCTTGTTGAATTTTCAGTGTTGAGAAGATGTATTAGCACCATCCAAAATAATCTTTTAGAGCATTTGAATTATCTTAGTAGGAATCATCCGTTTCTTGGCAGGTTAATCTGTATTCAACTTTTACCTCTTTATTTGCAGATTTACCATGAAAAATGTAAAAGCCCCAGGCTATGTTTTTTTCCAAATTATTATTAGCTATTACTATTTCTTGTGTGAATGAATATATATATATAAAATCTGGAATATATATAAAATCTGGAATATATATAAAGTCTGGAATATATATATAATCTGATATATATACATATATATATATATATCTTACAGATTAGAAGCTTCTGTGCTTATATTCAATTTCAAACAGCTGATAAAGAATGAATACAAGTTCAAAATTCATGCCAACTCTATTAGTTAAAATAATGGAGTTATCTATAATGGAAGCCTTAAAGTATTAATTCAACATTTAAGTTCTTTCTCTTGTGTATGGCCAAATCATAGCCCTTCTTATGACAAACAAATCAGCTAAACATTTTCTTAGATAAACTTTACTCAATGATGATATTTAAATTGATTATATTTACATTATACATTATATGTAATTATTATATATTATATGATAATTATATTTATGTTGATCATAGACTGATCAGAGTTGCAAGTAATAGTTTATGAGATGTCTGATTGCATTATATATACATTAAAGCTAATGCTTATTTTTAGTTCTCTTATTATGCTTTTGTTTAAACTTAATTCAAAATCCTGCCAAAACTTTGGCCTGTAATTGAATTGTAACAATAATGAAGAGACGATTTGATCATGGAAACGACCACTAGATGTTGCTAGTTGTCTAGTTTATATGTTTAAGAAGTTACATTCCTTAAAAGCTTGCTTCTCCATTTTTTTATGGATTTTTTTTTCAAACACAGTATCTAATCTGATGCCAATATTGAGTAAACTTGAATGTCACAAAGTATAAAGCATCCAAGTTTTTAAAAAGCTCTAACTCTTCACTCTACCTCTTTTTTTTGTAGTCTAAATATTGACCTTCCAAATCCATAATATAGTTTTAGTATCTAAAATGTTATTCTTAATGTAATTTTAAAAATGTATACCCTGATTCCTTCTATACCTTCATTAGTTTCTTGCTGTAGGATGGCAAATTACTCAATTATAACTTGTCTCAACTGAGCCCATTTTGCCCAGAACTAATTTTCACAATTTCAATCGCTTCTGTTTCTTCCTTTGTTTCATAACTAGGAATTAGGGAGGGCTTCATTAGAAGTCTTGGACTTGGGGAAGAGATTTTTTTTTTTGCTTATGCACAAAATATATAGGCAAAATACTGGTAGAGCAGGAAGGCTTTGTGTTTAAAGTTTTTTCCATTGAAAAGTAATGGAAGACACAAAATAATGAGCCCAAGGAAAAGAAGAGGTCAGTTGAAGTGTGTAACAGAGGCTTGCAGCTAAGAACCCCATGCAGAGAATAAACCCACTGTGGGAACACCCTAGAGGTCCCCATTAATTGTTGGGGCAAATACATGGGAAAAGATTATAAAAGGAAGTCATATTTTTTTTGAGAAGGCATTGCAATGATTTATACCTATGATTCAACTTCTAAATTTTCATTTATTCATGTCATACAATATAAAATGTATCAAAAGTTATTACTTATAGAACTAGGAGATTTGTAGAAAATTCAGGTCAGACAGCATACAAAAAATTACAAGACCACTGATGAAGAAGTCTTTATCTTCAAGAGTGGGAACCCTTGGTGACAGGTTCTCTGTTAAAAAGATGTAATTGGGGGCTGAGGTTGTATCGAAATGTTAGAGCATTTGCCTAGCACATGTGAGGCACTGGATTTGATCCTCAGTGCCACATACAAATAAATAAATAAAATAAAGGCATTGTGTTGATCAACAACTAAAAAAATTTTTTTTCAATGTAATGAGATTGTAAGAATAAGGGTGTAATCCTCAAACTTAGTCCAAACTTGCAAATTATGCTTCAAAATATTAAAATCTGAAAGTAGAAATAAATGCAAGCTGATTTAGTTGTCTCTGAGCCTCACCTTCCATAATTTTCTAGAGAGATGACTAAATGGTTATTAGTTCCTCAAACTAAATGCATGAGTTCACTCAACAGAATGTATATTTTTGGAGATGTTGGTGATTTTAGCATTTCTTCTTTGGAAATGTGTAACCTGATTCTTAGACCTTTCAATTCATAAAGGATTGTTTCATCAAATGTTTAATTTTTACTTATTTTCTCCATGTAATTATACTTAGTATAATCCAATATCAGAAAATACCACGTCTAGAGCCATGACTAAATAATACTGTTTGGAATTGGAGTTAAAACACAAAATTTGGAATTTAACATTTCTGATAGAATCAGGAAATCACTTAAGTAACACTTTTTAGCTGAAATCAGAGAACTTAGAATATGAAGCACCACTGAGGGAAAAAAAATCAGCATTCTTTCTTTAAAAATGTGTTATCTCTCTATGATAGTTACCCTGAAGCTAGCTTTTCCTGTCTAAAAGTCATCTTCAGTGGGTAATAGTTTACAAATAAATATTGAAGCCAAAATATAGTGTTTCAATCACACAGTTCCTTGTGCCATCCCAATTAACTGCCTAGGCATGCAGCAGGAGCTTCTATTACAATGTTTTCTGTGCCATCTCCCTACCTGGTGTCCCCACCCTCCCAGCTCACCAGGTGAAGTCCTGCTCATCTTTCAAGACTGAAGATTATGGGTCATCTTTCAGGCTATTTTCCTGTATCTTTAAGAGCCAAGCTAACCACTTTTGTATGTCCAGCTAGCTTTGTAGAAATGATATATTCCATATTGGCACCATTTTGCAGTCCCACCAGCAGTGTATGAGTATGCCTTTTCCCCCACATCTTCACCAACACTTATTGTTGTTTGTATTCTTACTAGCTGCCATTCTGACTGGCATGAGATGAAATCTTAGAGTAGTTTTGATTTGCATTTCTCTAATAGCTAGAGATGTTGAACATTTTTTTCATACATTTGTTGATTGATTGTACCTCATCTTCTGAGAAGGGTCTCTTCAGGTCCTTGGCCCATTTACTGATTGGGTTATTTGTTATTTTGGTATTTAGCTTTTTGAGTTCTTTATATAACCTAGAGATTAGTGCTCTATCTGATGTGCAAGTGGTATATACCCAAAGGACTTAAAAACACCATACTGTAAGGACACGGACACATCAATGTTTATTGCAGCACAATTCACAATAGCTAAACCATGGAACCAACCTAGATGTCATTCAGTAGATGAACAGATTAAAATTTTGTGGCATTTATACACAATAGAATATTACTCAGCAATAAATGAGAATAAAATCATAGCATTTGCAGGTAAATGGATGGAGTTGGAGGAGATAATGCTAAGTGAAGTTAGCCAATCCCCAAAAAAAAAATGATGAATGTTTTCTATGATATAAGGAGGCTGATTCATAGTGGGGTTGGGAGGGAGAGCATGGGAAGATTAGATGGACTTTAGATAGGCAAAGGGGAGGGAAGGGAAAGGAGGGGGCAAGGGGTGTAAAAATGATGGTGGACTGAGATGGACATCATTATTCTAAGTACATGTATGAAGACATGAATGGTGTAAATATACTTTATATACAACCAGAAATATGAAAAATTGTGCTCTATATGTTTAATATGAATTAAAATGCATCCTGCTATAATATATAACAAATTAGAATAAAAATAAAATTAAAAAAGAATAAATCATATATTCTCCTATTTCTTGCTTCCTATAGTGAAACACAATTAGATTTTTTTTTTTGCTCTCCAGTTCTCTAGTCTCTAGCCACCCAGCCTTCATTACACAGCAGCTGCTGATTTCATAACGCCTAATGATGACTAAACAGGAGCACAAGCCAGGCCACAGTGCTTGCTCTCTGTTTGGGATTTGATGTTGGAAGCACAATTACTCCCAGCTTGTCTGCTCCCTTTTCTCACAGGAAAACTTAATAAGCATTCAGTGTTTTTCTCCCTTCTAAATAACCCTTACTTTCAGAAAAAGCTTAACCAAATCTACATTATACATCTGTCTATAATGAAAAATGTGAGTGTCCAAAACGACATGTATCTATTACTATGATAATACTAGAAGATAACAAAATATTTCACTTGTTAAAATTCCTCTGTGTTCTGCCCATTCATCCCTCCCTCTGTGCAACCTTTTGTGTTTTACAGCCAATTCTATTTCATTTTGAAATAGAATTGTTTGTTTGTTTGTTTGTTTATTGGTGGTGCTGGGATTGAACCCAGGGCCTTGTGTATATGAGGCAAGCACTCTACCAACTGAGCAATATCCCTAGCCCAAGTTAATTTTTATTAAGGTCTGTGTCTTCTTCACTTTAGTTGCATGTGAATATTTAGTGATTTCAGCATCATTTGTTAAAAAGACTTTTTCTTCACATTATTGCCATTGTTCTTTCTCCAAAGATCAGTTGATTTTACTTGTGTAATTCTGTTTTTAGACTCTCTGCTCCATTCCATTATTTGTTTATCCTTTTGCCAACCCCAGTCTGTGTTGATTGCTACAGGTGTATAGTAAGCGTTAAGGTAGGGTGGTCTCAGTCCTCTGACTCTGTTCTGCTTTGGTACTGCATTGGCCGATATATCAATTGCTTTTTCCAATATACCTCAGCTGCCTGTCAAACACAAGAGAGAAGAAAAGTGAGTTGTTAAGTATAGTAAAGACAGCAAAGCTTTAACAAACACATATCCAGACAATAAGTAAATTGCAGGACAGTAGGCAGTACATAAAAGAGGAAGAGATGGGGATGACAGATTCATACAACAAGGGCACAAAAACAAAAATAAAGTTCTGTGGAATTCTTCCTAAGACACCACTATTGCATGATAAAGCAGTTGGTGGTTGATGTGAAGAAATTGAATCAAGTGGAGAATAAAACAAAAAAGTATAAACATGATAATTATTTCATTCTGTCTTAAAGTTAGAGATATCCATGTATTGCCCAGAATTGTTCCATGGCTAATGGGGATTTATTTTTGCACTTGTTGTCTTAGACAAATAATACTTATTTGTGAGTGTGTTTTTGCAAAGTAGATAAAATTCAAGAATCTTTGAGAATTTCTCAAATATTTTTTATAAACCACTACTTTTTAAGTTGGAGTCACACAGGTTTTGGTACAGTCTGAGAATTACTGTTTTATATACATCATGGAGTAATTCAGAGCAGGGCACAGTCTGCTCTCCACACACCTTATGAAAAGTGAAAAGGTTAAACACTTAATGGATAAGAATTTATTAGCCTTTGGCTTAGTTTCCAATTTCACCTGAATTTGGGAAGAAATCTACAACCTCAGGCCAACCACATTTGCCTCTTTAACCACATTTATGCTCTGGTCACAGTTTTCTTTTCATAGATATCCATACTCAGTCCAGATATAGAAAATGCTTGTCTGCTCTATTCATCAATGGCTGCCTCCTGAATGTGGTCATCTATGGAGACCATCATGCTAAGTGAAATAAGCCAACCCCAAAACACCAAACACAGAATGTTCTCTCTGATATGCAGATGCTAACACAAAATAAAGGGCAGGGGAAAGAAAGAATAGAAGTACATCAGATTAGACAAAGTAAATGAAGGGAAGGAAAGGTAGATGAATAGAAAAACAGTAGAATAAATCGGACATAACTTACCCATATTTGTAAATGAATACATGACCAGTGAAACTCCACATCATGTACAACCACAAGATAGTAATTGGAACGTTATATTTCATGTATGTATAATATGTCAAAATACATGCTACTGTCATGTATATCTAAAAAGAAGAAATTTTTTAAAAAGAAAGAAAGAAAATGCTTTTTTTTTTCCCTGTTCATCAATGGCTGCTCCCTGAATGTGGTCATCTATTTTAAAAACACCTAAGTTTGAAAGTATCCTAAGTTAATTCACCTCCAAAATATGCCTTTCTAAAATATGGGTAGTTATTTTGAAAAAAATCTACACAACAATGCTCACTTTTGCCCACCATCTAGACTTAACTGAATCTTTTGCTTTTACCCTTCTTTGTGTTAGAAAACATTTTTACATGGTAGAAGCAAAGATCAGGCAAGTCAGAGGGACATCACACCAGTTCTGCAAACTTACAAAGCCTCAAATCAGGTCTCTCAGTTTAACCATCTGTAGAAGTTTAAGTGGCTAAAAGATAGAAATTACATTGAAAAACCTAACTGGTAATTGTACAGAGCAATGGACAGAGAATCAATATAAATATTTGGAGATAGGCTGCCCGGAATTTCCTTCCATAAAACTGAAAAAATACCGTCAGACATTTGGATAAAAACTCGAATTTTCAAGATCTTTATTTAGAAACATCATGTTTCTGTCTAAAAAGTGAGGAAAACACGTGGAAACTGGCAAATTATAAAAAATTATTAAAAAGCTCAACAAATATTGGTAAAAGTTTTAGCTTTATTGCATAGGTAACCTCAATTTATTCCATTTTCATCAGAAACATAATTTGGATAACATATAAGTATAAATTATATTAGTATATTTGACTCATGACTAAATTTTTACTTATTTACTTATTTATTGGTGTTTGGGATTCAACTTAGGACCCTGTGCATGCTTAGCATAATCTCTCAGAGCCACTCTCTAGCCCCTCATGACTATAATTTTTAAAATTAAAGTTTTTTGTTCTGTTGGTTTGTTTATGAGCATGTATGTGGGTAGTTATTTCAAGAACAATCCTCACTTTTGTCCACATCTACATTTGCTCATTTGGATATCTACATGAAAATTCTCTACCTCTGGCTTCTATGTTCAAATTAATTTACAAAATATTTTTTTAACTAGAGCATAATACTTATACATAGTAGCTGGGTTCACTTTGACAAAATTATGCATGCATTGAATTTGAATTCAATCCCATCCCTCCACATTCCCTTCCCTCCTTCCTCTGCTTTCCATTTTCCTTCTTCTACTCTACTGATCTTCCTTTTGCTCATTTATTTATTTTTTATTTGTTCTTTTTACATGTACATAAAGGTAAAGTCCTCTGTGGTCCATTTATGTATGCATATATTGTGATTTGGTTAAGTTCATTTCATATTTCCTCCCCTTCCCTATACTCTCCCTTCCACCTGCCCCTCCCTCCCTCCCCCATTCTCCTTCTACTCTACTGATCTTCCCTGTTTATTTATGAAATGTAATTGTCCCATTGTCTCCTTTTCTTTATTTCACTCCAGCTTCCACATATGAAAGAAAACATCATCCTTTTGATTTTCTGAGTCTGCCTACTTCATTTAGCATGATGTTCTCCATTTCCATCCATTTACTGGCAAATACCATAATTTCATTCTTCTTTATAGTTGAATAAAACTATAAAGCACATTTTCTTGATCCATTAATCTGTCAATGGGAATCTGGATGGCTCCATAACTTGACTATGATAAATTGCACTGCTCTAAACATCCATGTGGCTGTATCAGTATAGTATGCTGATTTTAGTTCTTTGGGATAAATACGAAGCAGTGTATAGGTGGTTTTATTAGTTTTTTTGAGGAATCTCCTGCTTTCCAGAATGGTTGCACTAATTTGCAGTTCCACCAACAATGTATAAGTATATCCCCCATCCTTGCCAGCATTTTTTTTTATTATTTATGTTCTTGATTGCCATTCTAACTAGAGTGAAATGAAATCTTAATAGAGTTTTAATTTGCATTTCCCCAATTCTAGAAATGTTGAACTTTATTCATATATTTGTTGGCCATTTGTGTTCTCCTTTTGAGAAATGTCTGTTTAGTTCTTTTGCCCAGTTATTGGTTGAGTTATTTGGGGTGTGTGTGTGTGTGTGTGTGTGTGTGTGTGTGTGTGTATGCACCCACAAGCTTTTTGAGTTCTTCATATATTCTGGATATTAATCCTCTGTCTGAGGTGCATCTGGCAACAACTTTCTCCCATTCTGTAGGCTCACCCTTCAGGATCTTAATCATTTCCTTTAATGTGAAGAAGCTTTTTAATTTTATGCCATCCTACTTATTCATTCTTGGTTTGATTTCTTGAGCTTTAGGGGTCTTGTTGAGGAAGTTGGTGCCAGAACCTAAGTGATGAAATATTGATCATATTTTCTTCTAGCAGTTGCAAGATTTCTGGTCTATTTCTAAGTCTTTGATCCATTTCAGATTGACTTTGTGTGCAGGGTGAACAATAGGTATTTAATTTTATTCTTCTACATATGGATATCCAGTTTTCCCAGCACCATTTGTTAAAAGGGCTGTCTTTTCTCTGACATATATTTTTTGGCACCTTTGTCAATTATCAGATAGCTCTAAGTAGGTGGGTTTATCTCTGTGTTTTCTATTCTATTCAATTGGTATTCATGTCTATTTTGATGACAATACCATGATGTTGTGTTACTATAGCTTTGAGATCAGGTATCATGATGCCTCCTGCATTGCTCTTCTTGCTCACAATTGCTTTGGCTATTCTGGGTCTCTTATTCTTCCAATTTAATTTAAGAACTGTATTTTTCTAGTTCTATGAAGAATGTAATTGGCACTTTGATGTGGATTTTATTGAATATGTATATTGATTTTGGTAGTATGATCATTTTGGCAATATTAATTCTACCTATCCAAGAATACAGGAGGTCTTTCCATTTTCTAAGATCACCTTCAATTTCTTTCTTCAGTGATCTATAGGTTTCATTGTAGAGTTCTCTTACCTCTTTAGTCACATTTATTTCCAAATACTTAATTTTATTTTTATTTAGATTTTTGCGAGAGGAATAGTTTTCTTGATTTCTTTATCAGCAGAATCACAATTGGAGTATAGGAAAGGTATTGATTTATGAGTGTAAATCAATCTGCTACTGCTACTTTGCTGAATTATTTTATCAGCTCTAGAAATCTTCTAGTGAAGTGTTTTGGGTCTTCTAGATGTAAGATTATGTCATTAGCAAATAAATAGTTTGACTTTTTTTCCTATTTGTATCCCTTTAGTTTCCTTCTCTTGCCCTGTGATTGCTCTGGCTAGAGTCTAAAGTTCTATATTGAATAGAAGTGGTGAGAGTGGACATTCTTGTCTTATTGACTTGGAGGAAATCCTTCCAGTTTTTCTCCATTCAGTATGTTATTGGCTTTGTGTTTGTCAGATAAAGCCTTTACAATGTTGTGGAAAGTTTCCTTTATCCTTATTTCTCCAGAATTTTTAATGTAAATGGGTGCCAGATTTTATCAAAGGCCTTTTTTGAATCTATCAAGGTGATCATATGATTCTTTTTCTTAATTCTCTTTAAGTGGTGATTTACATTTATCGATTTGTGTGTGTTGGACCAACCTTGCATCTCTAGTATAAAGCTTAATTGAATATGGTACATTATATTCTTTGTGTTTTGAAAATATTTTATTAGGAATTTTTTAAATCTATGTTGATCAGAGCTATGTTCATCTGTTATTCATCAGAGTTTTCTTTCCTCTCTGTCTTTGTTCCTGATTTTGGTATCAGGTTTATACTGGCTTTATAGAATGTATTTGGAAGTGTTCCCTTCATTTCAATTTCATGAAATAATTTGAGAAAGACTGTTGTTAGTTTTTCTTTAAAGATTTGGTAGAACTTGGCTGAAATCCATCTGGTTCTGGGATTGTTGTTGTTGTAGGGTTTTCAATTGCTGTTTTAATTATATTACTGATATTGGTCTGTTTGGGTTTTCTGTATCTTCCTGATTCAGTTTGGTCAGATCATATGTATCTAGAAATTTGTCAATGTCTTCTAGATTTTTGAGTTTATTGGAATATAAATTTTCAAAATATTTTCTAACAGTACTCTGGATTTCAGAAGTGCATGTTGTGATATCTCCCTTTTCATTTTTAATTTTGTTGTTTTATATTTTCTCTTTTTCTTTTGAAGAGTTTGGAAAGAGATTTGTCAATCTTATTCATATTTTTAAAGAAACAACTCTGTTGCATTGATACCGTGTATTATTTTCTTATCTCGATTTCATTAATTTCAACTCTGATCTTTATTATATCCTGTCTTCTATTGTTTTGGAATTCTTTTGTTCTTCCTTTTCTAAGGCCTGGAGGTGAAGCATAAGCTCATTTATTTGGGATCTCTCTATTTTTTAATGTAAACAATTAATGTTATAAATTTTCTTCTTAGAACAGTGTTCATACTGTTCCAGAGATTTGACATCATATGTCTTTCTATTTTTTTTCTAAGAATTTCTTAATTTATTCTATCATTTCCTCCAAGACACATTCTTCATCTTATGAATATGTAAAAGGATGTGTTTAATATAAAAGACAAGATCAGATCTTGATTGTGTTTCATATAAAACACCTTTGTATGTTTATGTGGTTTTTGTTATTTTTCTGCTAATTTCTAATTCCATGCAATTATGATCTGTTAGGATGTTTGGGACTGTAACCACTTTTTGTATTAAGACTTGCATTGTGTTACCGAATACCATCTCTTTTGGAGAAAGCCTCGTGAACTGCTGAGAAAATAAAATGAGCTGTTTGGGGGTGAAATATTCTGTAGATATCTACCTGTTAGGTCTGTTTGATTTACAGTATTGTTTAAGTTGGAGATATCTTTATGGATTTTATGTTTGGAACCTGCCCATCAGTGTTCAGGTTGTGTTGTCAAAAAGTACTATTTTATCAACTCTATCTGAAATGTCAAGAAGTGTCTTGTTGTTGTTGTTTTGGTTTTAGTTCATTATACATTTAATA